ACCAGTCAAAAATAACTTTTTCAGCCCTCTGAGTAGTCCATATGCATAAAAGGATACAGCAATAGAGAGGGATGAAGGAAGGGAAGGGAAATTAGAGTAGGAGTGAAGGTAAGAGGGGGAGGAAGAGAGGAGGAGAAGGAGAAAGGAAGAGGAAGTAGGGAGGAGAAGAAGAAGGGGAGGAAGAGAAAGTAAGAAGGAAAGAAAAGAGAGAGGTGGTAGGTTTGAGGAGAAAGATTGCTGTACAATAAAAAAGATGAAAGGGAAGAAAGCCAACCCCAAACAAATATAATGATATTAAGATAAAGAATGAATTGTTAAACTTTAAAGAATAAAAAAGAACAAATATGAATAAATAACAATAATTAGAAATACACATACAAACATACAATGTATTTTCTTTGAACAGAGTATTTGGCCGGTTCACAAATTTAAACAGTGTTTAGTCACTTCAATTAAATTTACAATTTCTATATTTCCTTTTTGCCATATTTATTCCTCATCTATTTTTTTAAAAAAACCAATATTACCCTTCATCCTCATCTCTAATCTTAATCAAATTCATTTTTTCCCTTCTATTCTATATTATACCCCTTCCCATTGTCATCTATTTTTATATCCATCCTCACATTGTTTAATTATGTAATTATGTAATACAGTTGTTTAATACAAATTCAACATTTTAATATAAATCAATTAGTTATAAAACTATCTTTTTTGTATATTAATCAATATGAACAAGAATATTCCAATTATTTCCATGCAATCCAATTTCTTACAAATCAATTAATTATATTTACCAATAATAATAAACCAAATAATTTCCCCCATATATTCCTCTGAACCACAACTTAACCATTTCTGCTTTCAACACAATATACAATTAATAGTATCTCAATTATTACAATTTCCTAGTTAAATACAGCTTTTTTTTCTTTTGTGTTTTAAAATCTTGAACTCTCCTCCTAAATTTCCCATTGTTTGCAGTTTTTCACCTACCTTTTTTGGGGAGGAAAAATAAAAATAAAAATAAATCTCTCTCTGCCTCATTTTGTCACGTTGCACCAAAGATCCTGGTTTCGGTTTCGTTTCTGCAGCTTAGCTAGGGGGAAAAAAAACTGCTTCAGGAACTCTTTACACTGATTGCCTGTAGGGCGGCCCTTTGAAGCCCCGGGCAAGAGTTTAAACAGTTTTTTTTTCTTCTAGCCATCAGCTGGGGCTTAAGAGGCAGTGGGACTCAGGAGGCAGAATGAAAAATCGGGACTTTTTTGAAACACCGCGGGACGCGGGACAAATTGCTAAAAATCGGGACTGTCCCACCTTAATCTAGAATGTTTAATCAAGTTAAAAGGTACTCTAATAAATGAGACTCAAAAGTATTATTTTTAAAACAATATTCTTTTTCCATTTACTGTGGATTCAAATTAGAACAGAGTTGAAACAGTGTTTAATATTTGAATCATTTCTCCAAGCCCACAGGTGTCATGAGTCATGGATGCAATGACTTATTCAGTATGACTGGACCTCATGGGATCTTTGCAGTAAGATAGCCACAGGAGAGGCCACAACACTTTTAATGACCTAAATATAGAAGCATTCAGTACAATCTACTTGTAAAAAAATATAAAACCACCCCTTCTTAACTGCACTACAGGCCTCCATTTCTTCACAGCAAGATAAGAAAGACTTCAAGAAGTATACGTAGTTACTATATCTGAGCAATAATATTAAGTTGGAAACTATGATTGAAAATTCTTTATGAACTATGAAGATATAGCAGGAGTAAGACTGGCTGGATCTTAGTTTAAATTACCTTTCATGAACTTAGATAATCCATTGATATATATCATGCTCCTTCTAATAATCCCCAATAGAACAGTAAAAATAAACTTTTTAAAAATGAAGACTCTTAGGATAAAAATAATTTTAAATGTTGTCATTAAACAACAACATATGAGTAGTTTTATACTTCATATACAGTATACATTATCTATTTTTGCTCTATTTTTGCTTATTATTTCTGCTTTATTGTATTCAAAGGTATCTCTAAACTTTTAAAAATACTGTTACGGTTAGTCTGCCTGGTGTAATTGAGGAATATAGGTTGCAAAAAATTTAAAGAAATCAATCAGATTTGTGTGTGTGCTTAATGAAGCACTCATAGGTTCTTGCAGAAGGTACTGAAAGAGTAGGTGGAAAGGGCAAAGGAACAGTGAAGATCCATTACTCAAAGATTTTCTAGTGCTGTCCCAGAAAGTTCACTTTGGTGCTGCAGAAAAAGAAAAAGGTGGAGGCTTAGTAGATCCAAAGATCTTCTAAAATAATTTCAATACATGTATACCCGCTACTTGAAGACTTACCACGTCTTCAAGTAGGGGGTGTACATGTATTGAAATTATTTTAGAAGATCTTTGGATCTACTAAGCCTCCACCTTTTTCTAACAGCTTTTAGAAAAGCTAAACAAAATGTACCAGTCCTATAGGGGAAACTTTGAAGAATGGTAGTGGATGAAAAATATATCTCCAAATTTCAGTTTAGCCAATGAAAAACAGGTGGACAGAAGATATGGTTTCTCTGGCATATTCTACTATTAGATTAGGAGTTGGGTTCATAGTTGCCTCCAATCAAATATGTAACATATAATCTGAACTCAAAAATTATGGTTTGTGCTCTATAGTTTATTATGTGCTGTGTGAATTGATTTATTTAACAAACCATATTCAAAGCAAATCTGATTAGCATGATGTGTGAACTATAGCCTATATTTATCCATTGGCATAACTGAGGTCAATATATCTTGATGCTGATTCCAACTGAAATGTCTTTGAATATTTTAGAGAAGACCCATCAGGGGTGAAATGCTACCGGTTCACAACGGTTTTGGCAAACCGGTAGTAAAAAAAAGTACCTGTTCATCCGAACCAATATTTCCGACGATCAGCTGGGCTGCGCAATTTATATTCGCTAGAAAGCAGGAAATCCTGCTTTTTAGCAAATCTAAATCACGTGGCATAGGTGTTTCCCCCCCTCGCTGTTCCACTTACCTTCAAAAGGCTCCTTTTTCCACACGAAGCATGCGTTTGGTGCACACTGTGCATGTGTGTGCGCACAGTGTGCATTTAGTGTGTAGTATGCATGCGCACGCAGCATGCATTTGGCACACATTGCGCATGCGCACGCAGTGAACCAGTGGCAACCCACAGAGGATTTCACCACTGAGACCCATGTTTCAGAAACTAGTTGAAAAGGTGTGTCCATCCTAGTACTAAAAATAAGATATGGGAAACCAGATTGTGTTGAATTCTGGGAATATCATAGAATCTTATGGTTGGAAGAAGGCATTTAAAATTCAACCCTCTGCTCAATGTAGAAATTCAAATTCAAACACACCTGACGGTAACTGTCTACCTTCCTTCTGGATGCATCCAGTGAAAAAGAAGTCACAATCTTGCCAGGTTATTGGTTTCACTATTGAACAGTTTTTACTGTTTTGAAAAAAAAAACTCACTTATATGTAATTGACTTAAAACCATTGTTTTATTTCCTAAACTCGTCTTCTTTATGACATAATTTCAGATATTTGAAGAGTGTTATTATAGTTCCCCTCAGTCTCCTGAAGGTTAAACATGCTCAGTTCCTTCCATACTTTTCATAGGACTTTCTTGATCATCTACATTGTCCTCTGAACACTTAGTGTATCCAAATGCTTCTTAATGTATAATGGCTATAACAAGTTACAGTAATTTAAGATGAGGTTTAAAGCAAGATAAAATGAGTTTTCTTGATTGCAACCTAAACTTTTTTTGCCCCTTTTGCACCTACATCAACAGAAGATACATATTCAACTGGCAAGGATCTACTATTCCAAGATTTTTTAACCTGTGCAAATGACCCTAGCCTGATAGCTGAAAGTGCAAAGGATCTGCAAGTTCTAATAATAAAAATCACATAGTGAAAAAAGGGACTAACATTGAATATAAATAAAATCAAACTAATGACAACAAGAACAATAACCAGTCTTAGAATTAACAATGGAGATATTGAAGTGGTAGACAGCTTCTACCTTTTGGAATCATCTATCAATAGTCAAGGAACAAGCAGTCAAGAGATCAACTACCGATAATCACTTGGCAAAGCAGCCATGAAGCTTTGGAAAAAATATTCAGCTGCCATGATGTGACTAAACCTGTACAACCAGAATAACACAGATAATGTGACTATGAAAAGGAAAGTTGGATTTTGAAGAAGCAGGATAGAAAAAGGATTGATTAGAGAGATCAGATTATCAATACTTATAGAAGATAGCATATTCTCTTTTGAATGATGTGTAGATGTTGTTGAACTTCTTAATTCTACAACACATGGAGAGTGTGCACTGATGATATTACCTAATTTGCTAATGAAACGTCTGCAGGAAAATAACCAAGCCCAAAGAGCACCAAGGTCCCCACAGTAAACAATATCCCAAACAAGGAGTTACCAACTCAAAACAATCAAACAGTAAATAGCCTAATCAAGGAACTACCCAAAAGAAACATTCCCACCAACACTGATAGGGCAAGTCATTGTATATAAGCAGAGAGCAAACCCTACTCTCTTCTAGTACTGAAGATGCTATTTACTGGTAGTTGGGTAATGAAACATCTGACAGCAAACAATCAAGCTCAGAACACCAAGAGCTCCACTATTCAATACTTCTCTCCACTATGAAAACCATTGTGAGCCCTCTTGAAGTTTTGAGCCAATGAATGATTCATCTAATTCAAGGGTATCAAACTCGATTTCATTGAGGGCCACATCAGGGTTGTGTTTGACCTCAGTGGGGTGGGGTGGGCATGGCCAGCTCGATGTCACTCGTGTCGGGGGCACCTGTGGTGGCCAAGTGCTAAGGCAGGACTTGCCTCAGACCCTCCTTCACTCTTATTATACTTTCCTTCCTTCCTTCCTTCCTTCCTTCCTTCCTTCCTTCCTTCCTTCCTTCCTTCCTTCCTTCCTTCTTTTCTTCTTTTTCATTTCCTCTTCATTCTCCTTTCTTCTTCCTTCCCAGCAGTGTGCAGCAGCTGCCAAAAAAGCCAACACAGTTCTGGGCTGCATAAACAGAGGGATAGAATCAAGATCACATGAAGTGTTAATACCACTTTATAATTCCTTGGTAAGGCCACACATGGAATATTGCATCCAGTTTTGGTTGCCATGATGTAAAAAAGATATGGAGACTCTAGAAAGAGTGCAGAGAAGAACAACAAAGATGATTAGGGGACTGGAAGCTAAAACATATGAAGAACGGTTGCAAGAACTGGGTATGTCTAGTTCAGTGGTGGGCTGCTGCCGATTCGGACCGGTTCTAGTGAACCGGTAGTTCTGACCATCAGCTGGCCCCACCCACCCACCCCACCCTATCCTGTCCAATATTTTCTTCTTTCTGTCTTAGCTGATTTGCGCGGCACAGCTGATTTCCACACCTCTGCTATTCTACTGACCAGGGCTGCCTTAGAAGGTAAGCAACTGAACTTCAAATTACTGTATTTTGAATGCTGCGCACAAGTGTGTTAGGTGCGTGCATGCACGAAGCACACGCTCACAGAACTGGTTGTTAAACTGGTTACAGCCCACCACTGGTCTAGTTTAATGAAAAGTTTAATGAAAAGAAGGACTAGGAGTGACATGATAGCAGAGTTCTAATATCTCAGGGGCTGCTACAAAGAAAAGGGAGTCAAGCTATTCTCCAAAGCACCTGAGGGCAGGACAAGAAGCAATGGGTGGAAACTAATCAAGGAGAGAAGCAACCTAGAACTAAGGAGAAATTTCCTGACAGTTAGAACAATTAATCAGTGGAACAACTTGCCTCCAGAAGTTGTGAATGCTCCAACAATGGAAGTTTTTAAGAAGAAATTGGATAACCATTTGTCTGAAGTGGTGTAGGGTTTCCTGGCTAATCAGGGGGTTGGACTAGAAGAACTCCATGGTCCCTTCCAACCCTGTTATTCTGTTATTCTCCTCTTTCCTTATTTTTCCTTCCTTGCTCTCTTCCCATCTTTCCTTCTTCTTCTTCTTTGTCTTTCCTCTTTCCCTTTCTCCTTTCCTGTCCCTCCTTGCATGCTCAAATGCAAAAGAGGAAACATTTCTCCTTTTACTTTGTTTTGCTAGCCCTCTGCTAGCGAAAATGGAGTTCGGAGGGACTTCATGCAGCCCCCCAGCCCTGTTTTCAGCTGCAACAGCCTCCTGCAGCCCTCTGCCAATGAAAACAGAGCTCCAGGCCATTTTTGCTGGCAGAGAGCTGCAGGAGGCCGTTGCAACCAAAAACAAAGCCTGGGAGGGGTGCATGTGGCTCTCCCAAACTCCATTTTCGCTGGCAGAGGCCAGTCCTGTGCTGTTTCAAGGGCAGCCCCGCGAGCCAGATCTAAGCACTCTACGGGGCTGGATCAGGCCCACAGGCCTTCGGTTTGACACCCCTGATCTAACCCATACTTAATATGATTATCAGAATGTCATGGGGTAATCATCTATCAAAAGCTTTGCAGAAATCAATACAGTGTTAAATCCAAAGCATTCTTATAATCTATTAAGAAATAAAGGCTATTATAGAAATATTTGTTTTTAACAAATAAGTGCTGATTTTTTTTCAAGTTACATATCGATTTTGTTCTAAAATCTTAGGTGTAAAATGTCAGTTTGTGGCAATCTAGTTTCTCCTTTTCCTTTTGAAAATAGGGAGTACATTTTGCTCTCCTCCAATCATCAGGCACTTAAAGGTTTCTCAATGATAAAATTCAGCCATTAATCAGTTAGTTCATTCAGTACTCTGTGATGAAAGATATCTGGCCATGGAGATTTAAATGTGCCCAGAACTCCAGAACCTTTTTCCTGCAAGACTTTTGAAGTGCTCTGTATGTCTCAGTTTTTAGCAAAATATAGCTACTCTGCCTTTAAACGATTTGAAGAAAGTTTAGGCCTTTCTATGGTTGAAGGCAACAAACAATTGTAGAAATACATTATAGTTGAGTAAATCAATGGTACAGTAAAAAGAAAAGTTTAAGAAAAGGTAGCATGTAGTGTATATTTTTTAATAATATGGGAGTAAACATGAACAAGAGTCATAAGGCTATCCTCCCACATGAATAGGAAACTAATGTGACAAATACAATCCCTGAGTTGGTGGAAAACTGAAAGAAGGTTAAAAAAAACACTTCAAAAACATTTGTCACTGATCCTAATTAGAAAAAAATGGAAGAGTTTCTGAGGAAAAAAATGAAATAACTGAGTGGGTGGAAGTAGCAGAGAACTGGCGCTATCTCCAAATGTCCTCTGAAAACCACTTTATTGTGGTTAGAGAAATTGGGAGTGAGGAGCATTTCAATGAATGTCCATGTATGTAGGCAGTATTTTCTGATTATTTTTACTTATTTATTAAATTTATGTGCCATCCATCTCATCCAGAGGCAACTCTGGGCAGCTTACAAACATTAAAACCAGTCAACATTAAAAGAAATAAAATAATAATCATAGAAGAGATGAGAAAGAACTAGAGAAGATAACAAAATACAAAGATCTGCAAAAAGAGAGAAAACAACTGTAGCAAAAGAAAGCAAAGGTAGTACCAATAGTCATGAACAACTTGGGTTCCCACTTGCAATCCCAAAATGCTTGGAACACCACTTGAGTACCATCGGCATTGACAAATTCACCATCAGTCAATTGCAAAAGGCAGTTTTAATTGGGACAGTTTATGACTTGCAATAATACCTTTAACACCATCAAACATCAACACCTGCCTATACTTGGTTCTGGAGAAGGACTCGATAGCTGGATAAAAATGCCATATGCAATCTGGACATCTGGTTTGTCTGTAGTATGTAATAATAATTTATCATTAAAAGATGGGGGCAGGGGAGAAAGGACCACAAAGACCATTGGGGGAGGTAGGATCTTCTCTTAATTCATTAGTGAATGTAATGGATTAATCCAGAGTAAACACCCCCCTTCTTGGGCACCAGATTAGCTGGCAGAGCCAGATCTTCAGGCCCTGACAGAAAGACAAGGAGAGTCAATGCAGATATCATCTCAGGAGGCATGATGTTCTAAACGGCAGGAGCCACGGCAGACAAGGGTCTTCTCCTGGACCCAGTCAGTCAGAATTCCTTGTGTGATAGGATCTGCAGCATGCTCTCTCTGCCAGCATGGGTGGACTAGGCCAATCCCATTGGAGTGAGACAGTTCCTCAGATAGCCTGGACCCATATTTTGTGTCTACCATTAGCCAAAGCAATGGTGTAGGTTTTTTTATAATCATTTCACTTTGATTAATGGATTAATTAGTTGAATTGCTATATTTGTTAATTGAAAGGTCTTGGCCATCATTTTAGATCCTCCAAAATGCCCTAGGTACTTCGTGCCACCTTTCAGGAAGAGACATGAAAGGAGGGAATAGCCAGAGAATGGTAAAAAGTGTTTCAAGTGGGGTAAAAAAAAAAGGGAGAAAGATGGGAAAGCTTCAGAATTTTTTAAAATGCCTTTTAGAGATTTTTGTTCTTTTTCCTCTCTTGAGGGTACCTAAGTACCTTTCGTACTTCCGCTGCACAGCCAATGGCATTTATCCAACCTGGTTAGTTCTCTGCTAGTCCATGCTCCGAGATCTTTGTCTCCAAGGAATATGCAGGATGTACTGGTGTGACCTGTGTTTTCTCAAGGGAATTGAGTCCCCAAGCAAACAGAGAGAAGAGACAAATGTTAATGGTTCTGAGAGGCTGGAGAAAGGACAGCTGCATCTCTAGCCTAGACTTTTAAGTAACCTTAAATAATTGCCGTGTTTTTCCTGCTCTTTTTTGACTGGTTCACAAACTGCTGAGATCTGTTCTTTCCGACACCACAGAGGATCTCATTTAGAGTGTACAATCACCAATGCACAAAGGACTTCCAGCCTTCTCCCCAAGCTTGAATGCCTCTCCCCTGCTGCCTGTCACAGTGCCCAGCTAGCAATGAATGACAAACCTTCCATAGTGATAGGTCTCCTGTCAGTCCCACACCAGAGGAGAAATTGAATCTTTTGTTCATTCTCGAATGCTTCTAATTTCCTTCACCTGAGAGGCCTGGGGTGGGGGGGCAGAAGTATTTTTCCTTTGCCCAGGGTTCAGCCATGTGACTCTCATTAATGTACATTATGGCTACACAGTTCAAAGCTGTGTATCTCTTGCTGAAGGTTTATCCCATGGTGCTGTCACTTTGCAAAGACTCCTTCGATTTGCAATAATCGCTGCATGGAGTGAAAATTGGAAGAAGCTTTTTCCTCCTCACAAGTGGAATTGCAGTTCATTTATCACATCAACATCTTAGATTACATAGGTAGTGATGAAGAATGGCAGAGAAAAGAAGACAGACAACACTTTTCACTTGTTCCTCTCCTTACTGTGAGATCACAAAAAGAAGATAACAATCTCCTTTTTTACTATAATAAAGGAGGAAAGGCAAGGAAAGGAAAGGAAAGGCAAGGAAAGGAAAGGAAAGGCTCCTTAGTCACTGTACAAGGAAATATACCTAATACACAACTTTCTTTCATGACAGTAGGCTTCATGTTTATGGTCAAGGATTGAAATGATCCATGAATGTAGCATAATCTAGCTTGTTCATTAAAAGAGTCCAGGAATTAGCCATGAATAAGCATTATTATATTGTATGAAAAACATTATTTACATGGCTATCCAAAACGAAAATGTCTCTTTGATAAGAAGTCTCTCACAATAGCTACATAACTGATGCTCACTTGCTTTCAGTTTTCCAAAACAGATGGATAACAGGTATTTGGTTAGGAGCACAAAAGTTTAGAAAAAGCTGCCCTGAGTCTTCGGAGAGGGGCGGCATACAAATTGAATTAATAATAAAAATGGCAGGACGTACAATCCAAATCAATTAAATCATTCAACTGACCTAATAAACTAAATTTAATAAAAAGTAACATGATGGGTCCTTGGTGCTCTCTGAGCTTGCTTGTTTTCTTGCAAACGTAGGTAGCATGATCAGTGCTAGTAAGGAGTGCTGTTTGCTGTCAGTTTATATTTTGGTGTCTTGCCTGCCTGTGTGTGGAGGGGAGGGAGCGGTTTTAAAGATTATTTGGTTGGGCTGTTTACTGATGGCTCTTTGGCAATTTCTTGATTGGGGTATTGCTTACTTTATTGTTGGTCTGACGTTAACCTTGGAGTTAATCTATGCTGATTTGAGTGCTGATTACTGGTGGAGAGGTACTGAAGTCTTTTTCTCTGTTGGGCTGGTTGAGTATCTCTTTTGCATAGTCTATAGATGTTGTTAATGTCTATGTGTCTACTGATGACTGATTTGTCAGAGTGCCCAGCTTCAAGAAATTCCCTGGTATTTTTGGATTTGGCCTGGTTTAGGATTGTCACGTTTTTCCAATTGAAATTATAGTTAATGTCTATATGTTGTAAAGTTAAAGAATTTTTGTTGTGTCTTCTGACTGCCAGTTGGTGTTCATGGGTGCATTCTGCCAGTCTTCTGCTTGTTTGTCCTACATAATGGTTGTTGTAGTTCTTACATTGTACGTTGTTGATGACTCCTGTTTTTTCTTCTGGGATTGTTAGGTCTTTTGGTTTGCTTAAGATGTTTTGAAGGGCTTTAGTTGGCTTGTGTGCTACGCTGATTCCATTTGGTTGTAGTAGTCTGTGGTTTCTGAGATATTCTTAATGTATGGCAGTGTAATTCTTTTTAGGGTTTGTGTTGGTTATGCTGTATTGGGTTGAGTGGTCAGGGACTTTTTGATAAAGCTGTATGGGTCTCCATTTTATTGGAATGTGTTGTATAGTTGCTCCATTTCCTTTTTCTGCTGTTCTGGGTTGCTGCACTGTGTTTGGGCTTGTTTAAATAAAGTCCTTACGCAGCTTCTCTTGTGGCAGGTTGAGTTGTTGCTTTGGTAATGGAGCACCTGGTTAGTATGGGTGGTTCTTCTGTAGACTTGTCTTTCTAGTTTGCCATTGTGGTCTCTGCTGATCAGGATGTCCAGGAAAAGTGGCGAGTTATTGTTTTCTTTTTCTCTAGTAGGCCTCCCTGCAGCCACCTGGGAGCAAAAAGGGGGCACGGGGGGGCACACCCCCATGCCTCGTTTTGGGCCAGTAGGCCTTCCTGCACTTAACTGGGAGTCAAAATGGGGCGCATGGGGACTTCTGGAAGAGGCGGGGCAGAGCAGGGCGGGGCCAGCCAGCAATTTAACAACCAGTTCGGCTGAAGTGGTGCGGACCGGTTGAATCCCACCACTGATTGTGATGACTGAATGGTCACTATGAGGATACATAGGCAGAAGACTAGCAAAGTGCATCCATGAACATCAGCTTTAAAAATGATATGATGAAAACTCCTTAATTTCACAACACATGGACCGATTAATCATAGTAGCCTCCTAGACCCAGCTAAATCCAAAAATGCTAAAGAATTCCTGGAAGCTTGGCACTCAGAAAACTAGCTATCAACAGACATGTAGAGATAAACAACAACCATTCAAAAAAAGCAACAGCTAAAAAATTAAAAAGGAAACAGAAAGGCCAGAACATGTCCTCACCAGCAATCAACACCCAGATAAGCATGGATTAACACCAGGATTAACACAAGACAAACAATCAAGTAGTAAACACTACCCTAATCAAGGAATTACCAACTCAAACAAACAAGTAGTAAACAATAGCCTAGTCAAGAAACTACCAGAAGAAAATAACAACCCAACAACCCAAGTAGCTTGAAGGACAAGCTACTGTTATATAAATAGAGAACAACCTCTACTCCTTTCTAGCACTGAAGATGTTTCCTAGTTAGGTAACAAAATGTCTGCAAGCAAACTACCAAGCTCAGACAGCACCAAGGACTCCACAATTCAGCCCTACATTCTCTTCTATGGATAATTACAAATAGCAGCTAACAGATATTATAATCTTGCCTATCACACAATTGAAACAACCACACTTTTGTTGGACTAAAGACTAAGGAGCCTTCAGGTAGAAAAGCCTTGAAGTCTCCTTTTAAATCATTTATGTCATAGAATACTGAAACCGATTAACATTGAGAAACAGTATATAAACTTATACTTTATTAATACTGCATAGCTTGTTTAATTATAGATAAGGAATATGCGTCTTTTATGACAGTAGAGCAACAGACGTCTTTCCACTGGTTTCCTTCTGATTCTTGTTTTCCAATTACAATTTCTGAAAAGTTTGACAATCTTAACATCAGCAAAAAAATGAGAGCAAAGCACAAAACTTGTTTGTTGGAACTGTCTGTTTCCATCACAAATGTTTATACTGTATGATCGGAGACTCTTGTCACAAAATTTGATATCAATTTACAAAAGATGTCTGACTTAATATTTAAATAATATACAGGTATGTTTTCACTGCACATACAATATTTTGCCCCATCATAAATATTTAGGAATACATCATGGATTCCCTTATGAATGCTACTTCCTCAGGCAGTGATGTGGGAAACATTTGTGAAATGGGCAGCTACCGTATTTTTTGGAGTATAAGATGCACCGGAGTATAAGATGCAGCTTAGTTTTTGGGGAGAAAAATAGGAAAAAAAATCTGCCTACCAGGTAGTCATCTGGCTAGCGTCCTTAGTCTGGTCAGCTTCAGCACATTAATTTTCTGGTTTTTATCCCCTGCTTTGGGATAAAAAACAGCTTCTAAAGCCCAACTGATCTTTGGAGAGAGAAGCAATGAGAAAAACAGGCAAACCACGGAGATCGCTTCACTCTGCTAGCGCCTAGTTAGGACTGGAAAAAAACTTCACAGCTGAGAGTCGGAGGGAGCAGGCAAAGCGCTTCACTGCTAGCACCTCCTTAGGGCTGAAAAGAAGCTTCACAGCTGAGAGTCGGAGGGAGCAGGCAAAGCAGGGAAGCGGAGATCACTTCACTCATTAGCGCCTCATTAGGGCTGAAAAAAAGCTTCGAAAAAGTTACATTCAGAGTATAATATGCACTCAAATTTTCAGCCTCTTTTAGGAGGGAAAAATGTGTCTTATACTCCAAAAAATATGGTATATATATATTTGATTAACAAAATTTTCTCACAGTCTCTTTTGTAATTTCTAAAGCCAGTGAAAGCAAGCTCTCTATATTTTAAACTATGGACATGCTGGTTACAGGAGGAGTGTTTATAGGAATAATAGAGAAGACTCACTGGTTTGACCTCTTTAGTGAAAAGAGGTCCCCCCCCACTCCTTGGATCACCAATGTGACCTCTAAGGGTACCATGATAACTCAAACATTTTTTGGCATCCATCAAAGGTTTTTGCAATACATTATTATTTGGGTGTTGGGCGGGGGCAGCAGGACAGAATAGAAACCAAAGCAGTGGCTTCTTTGTTGCATACTGTTTTATTTCTAAAATGTAACCCAAATGTACTCAGATGCTTACAGGGTGACGGGTAGGGAGGAGATGCTGCAAAGAGCGTAAGTTTCTAGCTGTTTGGGAAAGGCCTGGAGAAGAATTCCCCGTCCTCTCCTTGGGAGCTCCAGGGAGGCCTGTAGGAGAAAGGAGTTAAATCCTGGAAAAGAAAAAAATCTTTTAAGAAAGTCTGTTGGCTGGCACAGGGGAAAAGAGCAAGACCGATAATTAAGTGAACAGGAATTTGTGTGGGTAATCAATTCTAGGAAATCCAGTTAGGTGTGAATACCTTTAGCCCAGCATTTATATTTTTAATGGTAGAAAAAGAATTTTAAAAAGTATGTGCTTCAATTTCTTTATTTCCAATTGAAATGGGAAAAATGACGGTGGTCTTAGAAAGTGGAAAAGAAATCAGTAGTGATTAAAAAAAGAAGAAAAAAGTAACAAAATCAATCACCAAAATGTCTTTTTAGTCTTTTTGTGACTTTCATTTAAGAAGAGCTTACCTGGACATCCACTGGCTTCTTAGCCTGCACTCTTTTCAGGCTGGATCGATGCTTTCATAACAGACAAGCAAATAGCCACTTTTCTTCTTTTTCTATTCAGCCAGTAAGTAACTGACATTTAGCAGGCTGCTCCTGGCGTCATGGGGAGAGCTTGTTAAGGGGAGGACTGACGTAGGGACAATAAGAGCTATAACCTTCCGTTTTTAATGAACTTCTGACTTCGCAATGTTTGAGCTTCAATCTCCCCGCCCTTCCTATCAGCACCGTTTCCTTGCCGTTCTTCCTTTCTTCTCTTCATTTTGAACAAAGCAAAATAAAACCGCTCTTCAGACAAAACAATCCAACCAATCTTGGACTGATCATTCAAAATAAGCTGTGAACAAAAAAGAACAGGAACAAAAAGATTGATGTATGAAATTTTTCTCTGTAGAGCTAGGCCTCATCATAAGGCAGGTATTCAATATCCTGTGTGTTTAATGGTTCCCCAAATATTCAGAGTAGCAAGTGACAACACAGAGTGAATTGGGAGGTCATATAAACCGAACTAATAAACAAATACAATCTCTGTGCAGTGAGAGGAACAAGGAACCAAAAGACAGACAGACAGACAGACAGACAGATATCTGCCCTTGGAATCCCCATATTTGCATGTTAGCCTGCCAGCCTCTGGTCTCTCTCATTCACTTTCTTAATCTTCAATAAGAGAATGATACAGAAACTTCTAGATGGGGCCACAGATCCACTTGCAGATTACACTGAGATCTTTGCCAAATAAATGAAGCCATTTATCATCACACTAAATCCTGTATTTTTCTTTTTGTTTTCCTTTAAATGAGGATCCCTCTTTGCTTGTAGTCTGTCCAAACAGGTCTGTGTCCAGTCTCATTCTGATTCCCAGTTTCTGTTACTAAATGGGAGTAACAAAAATAGGACTGGCTAAATGGATCCAAATGCATAGCATAGCATAAGGATCTTAGCATTTTTCCAGTATGAAAGTCTAGAAGTGTAAAACTGTTACTTTTTTAAAAAACCAGTTATTTGAAGAAATTGGTTTTGTTCTTCTCAGAGGAGCAGCGATTGGCTGCAAAATTCCTGCACTGAATCATTTGCAAGAATGTGCAAATGATGGTTAGTCTGTGTGGATTTTTATGAAAGAATGAGTGAATAAATAGATGTGGTAACTATTCAAAATGTACACTAGATCTGATGTTCACAGAAGAGTGATTGCCTAGAGAACTGAATATAGAAAACATTATTCTGGTCATTGCCATATTTAGATCATTTATAGTTCAATTAAAATTAACTTTTCCCCAAGACCTTTGTATAGCAGAGCCTAGGGGTCTGATGCAAGGGTGGGATCCTACCGGTTTAACAACTGGTTCGCTAAGCGTGCGCTTCATGCACAGTTTGCAGAAAACTCACCTTCCGCATTGCTGCTGGCAAGGAAAACAGCTGAGGCCCGACAATCCACTCTGCCACGGCAATCAGCTGGGCTTTGGAAATGGAAATATAGGTGAGTATAACTGGGCCCACTTCAAAATCGGAGCAAACTGGTTCACTCAGGGCTGAAAGTCGGAGCTAACAGTTCGCCCGAACCGGTCTGAACTGGTAGAATCCCACCACTGCTCTGATGGATCTTAAGGAGTTTTGAAGGCCCTGGGGAGAATTGATCTAACAGCCTCTCTCAACATGAGACAACTAAGGTTACTAAATTACCACAGATAAGCCTTTTGTGTGTGTGTCCCTGTCATTGCATGTTGGTTCTCAAACTTACTTTGAAAGATAAAATGTCAAAACTAGTGCCTAAAGCATTGGTGAACAAAGACCAAAATAAACCTGAATCAGCATAGATATGAGATCAAGTTTGAGCCTATACCATAGTGATTCAGGAAGGCATTGCATTGGCAGCCTGGTGTAGGGTAGCAACATCCTTTCTTGGGGAGGATGGACAGGAAGTTCTCAAAATTGGCCAATTTTGCTCAATGTTCATCAAAAATATGACTTATCATGGGTATAGACTGATATGGTGACTAGGGCTTCATCTTCACCTGGGCCATGGACTGCATTACCTTCACGAAGGACTCTTGGGAAGGGATGGGCTGCACCTCACGAAAACAGGGGGAAATGTACTTGGAAAAAGACTGTCCCAACTCATCAGAAGGGTTTTAAACTAAAATTGAAGGGGGAAGGTGATCAATCTTTAGAATCTCTAGAACACAAAACCAATCATAAATCCCAAAAAAACAAATCAAGCAATGAGGTAGGAGCGGTGAGAAAAAAGAAAAACACGAACAACAACTAGGAGATGCAGGAAACATACCCAGGGACAGGCATAAAAGTCTTAAATGCTTATATACAAATGCTCAAAGCTTGGGAAATAAACAGGGTGAACTAGAAGCAATAGTACATGAGGGCAGATATGACATAGCTGCAGTGGTGGGATTCAAATAATTTAACAACCGGTTCTCTGCCCTAAAGATTTCTTCCAACAATCAGTTCATCAAACTGCTCAAAAAGTTAACAACTGGTTCTCCCAAAGTGGTGCGAACTGGCTGAATCCCACCACTGCATAGCTGCCATTACAGAAACCTGGTGGGACAAAACCCATGACTGGAATGTACTGATGAATGGATACAAATTGTTGAAAAGAAACAAATCAACAAAAAGAGGAGGTGGAGTTGCACTATATGTAAGAGATCACTGCATATCTACAGAATGTACATGATCAAAGATAAAACCTCTCCAGGGTGTATATGGGTCAATATAAAAGGGGGGAAAGTGACATTGCCATAGGTGTATATTACAGGCCACCCAACCAATCGAAAGAAATAGATGAACTCTTTGCCAACCAGTTAACAAATGTATGTAGGAAGCATACCATAGTAGTAATGGGAGACTTTAACTATTCAGATATCAATTGAGAGACTAACTCTGCAGCGAGTGGGAGATCAAACAGATTCCTAACTAACCTAATCATCCAAAAGGTAGAGGAGGGAACTAAAAGTAAAGCTATACTGGACCTAATTTTTACTAATAGAGAAGAACTGATAGAGGGAATTGAAATTGCCAGAACCTTAGGTGAAAGGGATCAAGTCATACTGGAATTCAATATAATGCAAACACAAGCTATAGAAAATAAACCGACCAGTATTTTAAAAGAGATGATTTTAACAAATTCAGGTAGACCCTAGGAAAGATTCCATGGATGAAAATCCTAAAGGGGAAAACAACTCAAGAAGCGTGTGAAACTCTGAAAAATGTGATCATAAAAGTCCAATCCAGCACAATACCACTGAAAAAGAAAAACAAGAAATCCAAGACGAAACCAGCATGACTGCACAAACACAAGTACAAAAAATGGAAAGAGGGATACTTAACTAAGGCTGATTATCAGCAGATAGCCAGAACATGCAAAGAGGAAGTCAGGAAAGGAAAGGCTCAGAATGAACAAAGACTTGCAACAAAAGTCAAAGATAATAAAAAAAATTTCTTTCAACACATTAAAAAAAAGTCAAGGAAACAGTAGGTCCACTAAAGAGAGAAGATGGCAAGGAAGTAACAAGCAGTAGGGAGAAAGCAGAGCTGCTTAACTCATTCTTCACATCAGTCTTCACGCAAAAAGAAATTATAGCCCAGCGTAGCAAAAAAACTACTGTAAAAAAAATATATATAGCTCTGTGATCTGATATTCCTTTTGTCCTGAAGTCTCTGGGGAAATGGGTTGCTTTCTGGTATGACTGATGCTGCTTTCATAGGGCCAGAGTGAATATGACCTCCTGGATCCTGAAAGTGGTCACAATTTTTCTGCATGAGGAAGTGATACCAACATCTTGAAAGAGACTGTGGTGCACCTCTTCCTTCAGAGGCCTTCTTTTGATTTTGCATGCTTGATAAACATTGCTCAATCTCAAATCTTTCTTTTTGGGGGAAGCTTGTTGAACATGTGGTAGAGATTCAGCTGCTGTGCACCTTTGAAAAAATGGGCTACATAGTCTCTTTTCAGTCAGGATTCAAATTTAGATAAAAGATAGGGATATTACTGATTGCTCTACTGGATGACTTTGAAAGGACAATGAATATTTCTTGGTTTCTACAAGACTTCTAAGTAGCTTCTGATACCATCAACCATGGTATCTTTCCAGATTGCACCAATTAGAGATGGTCAGGACTATTTTATAATGGTTCTGTTTCTGTTTTAGTGGGGAGTTTCAGTCAATGGCAATGGGGAGGAAAGTTCAGCCCAGTGGCTACCCCCTTTCTGGGTTGCCCTAAAGGCTGGTTCTCTCTCCTCCCACCCCCTCCCTGCTCTCGCTCTCTCCATATCCACTGGGTGAGGTCATGTGGCAGATCAGAGTGAGTACAATTGATAGGTTAACAATGCTCAAAGTTATATTGCCATCCTAAGCCCAGAGGGAAATTATATTGAAGTCCTGTCCCAGTGCTTGAAAGCTGTTAGCTGGCATGAAACTGACCAAAATTTAACCCAAGCAGCTGGAGTAACTTGTTGTTCGTTTCAATTATGCATCAGCTTCAACAGTCTCTCAGAATACTGGCACTATCCCTTGGGAACAGGTCCATAAATTGGAAATCATCATAGTTCCTGCTGGATGAAAAAAAAAATGGAGTTCACAATCAGAAGGGTTTTGCCCAGATTCAGCTGGTGCATCAGTTGTGTCCCTTTCAAACAACATTGAGAAAAAACAGTTGGTACAAAATTCAGCGAAACCATGTTGACTGGTGCTGTTTGCAATGATCACATTACCCCAATCACATGGTTACCAAAAGGTTTCTGGGTGCAATTCAAAGCATTAGTTTTCACATAGAAAGCCTTATATGGCTTGGTACCAAGATATATGCAAGGCCACCTACTCCAGCCAGTGCTGACCTGTCCAACACTCCCTAGGAAAAGTTGCTGGTAGTGCCCTATTTCTATGAGGTGAGGAGGGACAAAGCTAGGAAGTGTTGTTTTTTGTTTTGGTTTTTTTCCCCCCCTATTATGGATCCTATCAGTTGAAGATGCCCTCTTATTGACCTTAGATTTCCCCCTTTGTGGACTGCTGATTTTGGGGATATTTTTGTTCATCATCTCATGATGCTTTTATTTTGTACAGTCGTCGCTGTTATCATTGGTTTTGATTCTGTGAGTTGTTTTGGTATTTTGGTGTCACTGGGTATGGGGGATAAATTTATTTGTTTTATTTATTTTACCATGAATGTTTGGTGGATTTTTTTTAATTTACCATTCATATTTAATTGCATTTGATCTTATTTTAACTTGCCAGAACCTGAATGATTTGGTGGACTTGAACAAGGATCCATTTCTAATCCAAAAGTCTTCACGGGGCAAAAGGGAACAATTAGAAACTTTGGAGA